TCCTTTTGTGACTGGGATATTTCACTCAGCATAATGTTCTCCAGAGTCAACCATTTTGAATAATATTACATGAGTTCCTTGTTTTTCAATGCAGCCTAGTATTCCATTGTGCGAATATACCACAGCTGCTCTATCCATTCGTTTGTTGATGGGATGTCTTTTTCTAAGGACAAAGTTATTATCTCATTAGAGTCAGCAAGGAAACAGAAGTTGAAATTGAACTTGAACCTGTCCAAGATGACATATAATGGCTGGATCTGGGATCTGAACTCAGGCCACACTTTTTCCTCCTCCTGCCTCTCACTTGTTCTCTAGAACTACAATATTACTACTTTCCCCCCTCTTCTGCCATCTACCTTTGTCATTCACTGTGGCACCTTAACAGATAAGGAAGGAACACTTAAAGACAGTTTTATTGGCCGCCCATGAAAGCTATGCAGAGTTCATTGATTTTGCTAATGTCTTGTAGTTGTTGAGAATATATATACAACAAAACATATGCCAATTTGACAGTTTCTACACATATAGTTTAGTCACAGAAAAGTTCTGCTCCACATGGAAGCAAAGTTCATGATGGTCCTTCAAGCCAGGATGAGACATAACTGTTTTACAGTTGAGTTAGGGATCCTCTGAGAATCAAAATATGTAGGAATGAGAGCTGGCCAATCAGATTGCCAGAGGGGGGAAAGAATAATAAAATTTTGCTTAACTCTAGGTATTTCAAATATTTTTGCAACCTTGAAGCCAGTCTATTTCCAAAACTGTACATATTTGGCACAGTAGAGCAGATGACAGAGTGGTAGGTAAAATGAGATGTGTGTGTCTGTCTCCTTAGAACAACTGTGACTCTGGAGGTCAGGTTGGGGATAATGCGGAGGGTCAGAATGCCCAGCACTAAATCAAATATTGCCTGACCTTATCCATCCATAAATCAGAGGCTGCTGCCATGGGGGTAAGGGCAGAGCCCTTTGCTTGTGTGGGTGGTACCTTAGTGCCTTCATCGCACTAAATGTTAACCACTGCCACGGAGCTGTTTCTCACTTTTAGCAACCCTCCATCAGGTTAGGGGAGAAGCCTGTACAGTAGGAGCCTGGCCATCTTTGTTCTGTGAATTTACTGGTGAATTCTAATTGCCAGCCTTTCGGTTAGCCAGCTGATATGCCATGCACATACCTATTTAATTTGTATGCTGAGCAAATTATTTGAGAAGCTAACTCTATGAAGAAGATTGGGGCATCAAGATTGAAGGGAGTCTCATCAACAACATGAATTAGGCAGATTACACAGCCTTGCTTCCTGAAAATAAGGAGGACCTGAAACTCTACTGCATAAAGAACTACAACCTTCAACATGGATTGCATCTCAACTTCAAGAAGACAAAAGTCCTCACCATTGGACCAATAAGCATCACGATACGTGGAGAAAAGATTGAACAACAGATTGTCAACAATTTCATCTTACTTGGATCTACAATCAGTACCTTTGGTACCTGCAGTCAGGAGATCAGGAGATGTATTATACTGGCAAAGTCTTCTATCAAGAAAAGTCCAAGAGCAATGATGTCAGTTTAAAGGCCAAGGTATGTGTTATTCAAGCCATGGTCTTTTCAATCACTTGCTCTGCATCTGAGAACTGGACAGTGAATAAGAATGACAGAAGACAAATGTATGCCTTTGAAGTGTGGTGTTGGAGGAGAGTACAGAATATCCCAGGGACAGCCAAAAGAACAAACAAGTATGTCTTGGGAAAGTGCAGCCAGAGTGTTCTTTAGAGGCAAGGATGGCAAAGCTTCGTCTCACATACCTTGGGCATGTCATTAGGAGAGGCTTTTCCCAGAAAGGGACATCATGTTTGGAAAGGTGGAGGATCAGCAAAAGAGAAGACAGCCTTCAACTAGGTGGATTGGTCAGTGTCTGCAGCAATGGGCCCGTGAGTGTCAGAGACTGTGATGGCGCAAGACAGGCTGGGAGTCAGACCTATTGTTTATAGGGTTGCTATGAGCAGTACTTGACTTGACGGCACCTAACACCACAACCACCTCCAGGGCACCTTGATTAATGCTAGCGCTCCTTTTATTTACTTTCGGGAGTACCTGCTTTGTCCAGGCACTATCCTAGTGTTGCACTGCTGTTAAATGTAACTACCATACAAGCCTACCATGGAGATACTACAGATTTGCTTTGAAGTCATCACAATAAAGCAAATACCATATTCACATTGTTACAAATCCAGAGGATCACACCATTTGGTAATGAGTGGAATGAATGGCAGTTGGTGGAACCAGATGTGTAAGATGTAGGTTAACAGATGTTCATGATCTACCACAGGGCTGGATTAGAAGCTGAGTGGCCCACAGAGGCCAAATGATTTGCTCTCAGAACTTTGGTGTCTGCAAAATAAGTGGCTCCTCTGTGACTTACCACCTTCATTTACTTTCTTCTAGAGCCTCCTTGGTCACTCACAGGCTGACCCTAGCTCTGGCATACTTCGAAAAGGCGATTACCAATGTCATTGCCACCAAGGGTGAGAAGGCATCTGATCTCATCAGTCTCTACGAGGAAATTTCTCAGATTGAGCAGCTGAGGAGGAACCACGAGAAAGCCATCCAGTACCTGCAGCAGGTTCTTGGGCTGCTGGGCCAGGGGAGGGGAGGGGCTTAATCCCATTTTCATCCAGGGTCCCACCAGGCCCACACAAGAGCCCTTCCTCCACCATACATGGCCTTGGCAGAGAACGCTTGAGGTAGGGCGGGTGTGTGAGCTGTGTGGCCTGATGTGGTGGAAGAACTTCCCCTCCAGCCCCACCTCGTCTCCATCAGAGTGAGACAGAGGAAGCCACAGGAGTCCATCCCCAGGGAAAGGGCACTAAGGGCATCTGAGGTTAAGCCTTTAGCAAACACAAAGAGGTTTTTTTTATATGGGAAAAAATGTTATTTTGGTATTATGTTGTAATTTATCCTTTAATTTTGCCTATCTGGTTGCATTTTTGAGTCTAGGGTTAAAATAACAAAAGGGTATTTCACTTGGAAGTAGCCAAGTTGGCAAATGTCCAGAAGTAAAACAAAGCATAGGAAGGAATGTTGACACTGTCCTATGAAAAACATTGAATTGTGTGCTTGAAACCACCCTTGAGCTGCTAACTCACCTTTTCTCTCCTCTAAACAAGAATTCTGCTCTGTGGCTTTAAGTATCTTACAGAGATTTGAAAAACAACACCACACACACAAAAAAAAAAAAAAAGAAAGAAAGTACTGGATTTCCTGAACCACAGAAATGGTGCAATGTGGTCCAACAGCCATGTGTATGGTGGCAAGAGCCTGGATATAAGAGCTCAAAGATACTCTTACAATCCCTGCTGGTGAATGTAACATTTAAGAGAAATGTTAGATTGTTTAAAACACAGAGTACATGTACAAAACTTTTAAAAATATATACTTTTTTGGTTTTTAAGAAAATTATTATTTTATTTTAACAAAAGTTTATAGAAAAATTTATTTTAATTCTTTCATTGTGCAAATGTCATATTTAACAGAAATGTTAGGAAATGATCCTGCTAAGGCAGCAATTCTCCAACTTACCAAGACTCTGATGTGTTAGATAGAAAAAGTTGAGAGAGAGAGAGAGAAAGGCGAGGGAGAGGGAGAGGGAAAGGAAGACCTTTATCAAGTAGCCTTGAGTGGGACCAGGCCTTTATTAAGTAGACCTGAGAGGGATGCCAGGTGACTGTGAGCAGAGGAGGTTAGAATGATGTTCAGGCAGACGGAAGTCGCTTCCTTTTATAGGGCCTGTGAAGGAGATTGAGAGGGCATGGTAGTTTGCTTGGGAAGTTGGGGACAGGGGTCCTGTCAAGATGTGAGTAGGCCTAGGGCTTTCTCAGGATCTCCCGAAATAGTCGTCTTATCAGAATATGGTCAGGCCTTAGTAAGACATAGGCCTGGACTAAGTATTTGGGGTTGGCAGGGAACTTTCTTCCTACCATCTAACTCCATGATTTGCTATGTATTGGCTCCAAGTCAAATGACGGTTCTGTGAGAACCACTGGAATGTCCACAGTCAAACACTGCCACTCGGGCACTTACCTTGTCATGATCTTCTTTGCTCCAGGCCTATGCCATCTGTGTGACTGTTTTCACTGAAGTCAGCCCCAGAACTGCAGAGGCATGTGCGTTGCTAGCCAAAGCCTACGCCCTGTCCGGAGAGGTCCAGAACAGAGGTAGGTAGCAGAGGGGACCTGGGAGTCACCGGGAATTAGCCAATGGCCTGTCTAGAAACATGGCCAGGTCATAGTTCACTGCTCATGTTGTGTGGGATACATCCCCCTGGCTATGATTCTGTACCAAGTCAGGCATGCATGAATTTAGACTTGATATCCCCCAAGTTGGTTAGAGTATCAAAACCAATATGATGATCTTATTTCCATAGAATCTCAATCCAGTTCACCTGCATAAAGAGCTCATATCCATTGTGAATATCAATGAGGAAATCCAAAGATAAAACAGAAAAGCCTGGGCACCTCCACTCCCCAGCTCTCCTGCTTTGCCTCGGGCTTACAGAAGAGCATGTTCTTAGTAGCTGGACTTTTTCTTAAGTCATATTCGGAAGTGGAGGAGTAGGGGTTCTAGAGGAAAGCCAAGGAGCCCTGGTGGCCTACTGGATAAGGTCTCTGCTGCATAGTAGAATGATGGGCAGTCTTCTCCTAGTGATTTAGAGCCTCTGAAAACCCAATGGAGGGTCAGCTTTGAGTCCTTTCTGACTCAGCACCTAACAACAGAGGAAAGCCATGTGGTAGTCTGCCCTCAGCAGTGGTCTTTTGTCCAGCAAGGTTAGTCTTTAGCAAAGTGGATGGTTTTAGGAGAGACAGATAGATGGACCAGTGAGGACAGACAATATCCTTTATTCCCCTGACGGAAGAGCTAAGGGGGCACTCCAGGTGCAGTGAACAGCCAGGGGAATGTGGGGCTTGGCAAGAATGCAGCTTGAACATCTTTTAACTGTTTCATTTCTCTAATTCTAAAATGAATCCATTTTGGTATACATTGTGTTCTAGACATTTATGAGTGTGTGTGTGTGTGTGTGTTTGTGTATATTGTAGATTTTACATTCGACTTTTCCCCATTCTTATATTTCTCATGTCATTTAATAAACATTTTGTAAATGTACAGAAATTATTTTGCTATTTTAATTTTTCAGAAATAGACCTACATTATACAGCATAAAAAGTTCATTGATGAGCTCCTGATTTTATTTTCCAGCTAAATATCTTTCTCCTTTTAACAATTTCCTTGTATATGTTCACAGTATATGTGCTGCATATATGTTTATATGTATATGTATATATTGGAGTTTATGTTGTTTTTTATAATCTTTGTAGTTCTAAAAAGCTTAATTTTTTGCAAACATACAAAATGTATTTTTTCAGTTTTTTTAAGTTAAAAAAGCATATGCCTAGAGTTGGGAAATTCCAAGGCCATTTTCTTTTTATTTACTAATTTTTAATTTTAAAGAAAATATATGTCTTCACTGCATGGCTTTTACTAAATTAAATTGCAGACAGGTTAAAATTTTAGCCATCAAAAATGAAAGCATAAATTAACCAGAAGAAAATAAAGTATTGAAATAAAAAGTACTAAAATTAAAAATTGGGAGGGGAAAAAAAATCTCAGAGCATATCAAAGACATACCATAAAAGAAAATCAGATATTTAATAACATTAGAGATCTAAATTGTGTGGTGGTGGTGGTGTTCTTAGTTGCTGTTGAATACGATCATAACAACTCTGTAAACAACAGATCTGAACCCTTTCCTATCCAGTGCCATCTTCACAATCCACTTTATTAAGGGTCTTCCTCTCTGTCGCCACCCCTCTATCTTCCCAAGCATGATGTCTCTCTCCAATGAGTAGCCTCTCCTAACAACAAGCCCAAAGTATGTGAGGTGAAGTTTTATCATCATTGCCGCCAAGGAACACCCTGGCCACACCTTCTCCAAGACATATCTTGTTCATTCTTTTGACAGTCCGTGGGATATTCACTCTTTTCCATCATCACAGCTCAAAGGCATCAATTATTCTTCTGTCATCCTTATTCACTGTCCAACTTTCAGATGCAAAGCAAGTTATTGAAAAGACCATGGCCTGAATCAGGCATAACCTTGTCCTCAACGATCATCATTGCTTCTCAAGAATTTGAAGAGGTCCTTGACTGCAGACTTTCCCAGTGCAGTATGTCTCCCAATCACCTGACTGCTGGTACCAAGTGTATTGATTGTGGACCCAAGTAAGATGAAGTCACTGACAATTTCAATCTATTCTCCATCTATCATGATGTCGACTATAGGTATAGTGGTAAGAATTTTTGTCTTCTTGATGTCGAGATGCAATTCATATTGAAGGCTGTAGTCTTTGATCTTCTACAGCAAGTCATCCTCACTTTTAGCAAGCACGGTTGTGCCATCTGCATATCAAAGGTTGTTGAGTTTTTCTCCAGTCTAATGTCACCTTCTTCTTCATAGGGCCCAGCTTCTCAAGTAATATAATTGAATCAGCATACAGATTGAATACATGTGGAGAAAGGATACAACTCTTATGCACACCTTTCCTAATTTTAAACCATGCAGTGTTCCTTTGCTCTTTTCATACAACAGTATCTTGGTCTACATATAAGTTTCACATGAGCACAACTAAGTGTTCTGGGACTTGCATTCTTCTCAATGTTATCCATAATTTGTTATAATTCACATAGTCAAATGACTTTGCATAGCCAATAAAATACAAGCAGATATTCTTCTGGTATTCTTTGCTTTCAGCCAGAATCCCTATGATATCAACAATAATATCCCTGATGCCAAAGCCTCTTCTAAAGCCAGCTTAAACTTCTGGCAGTTCCCTATCTATGTACTGTCCTAGTCATTTTTGAATAATCTTCAGAAGTATTTTGCTTGCATGTGATATCAATGATATTATTTGATAATGTCCACATTCTGTTGGATCACCTCTGTTATGAATGAGAACAAATATGGATCTCTTCCAGTCAGTCAACCAGATAGCTGTCCTTCATATTTCCTGGTATGCCAGGATTTGTGAGCATGTCCAAGGCTGCATCTGTCATTTTAAACATGTCAGCTGGTATCCCAGCAATTCCTGGGGCCTTATTCTTTCCTTACTAAAACTTGTAGTTGCCAAAAAATACTGCAAATAAAATTAAAAGGTAAGGTAATCATTCCTCTAAAATTAATAATAACCTGTAACTATGAACAAAATTAGTAAGTAATTGACTTTTTTTAAAAAAGCCTCTAGACTCAAATGTCAAGCATGTAAAGAAACAATAACATCAGTTCTACACTATCTTCTCAGGAAATAGAAATGGAAGGAGCATTTCCCACTTTTTCTTATGAAACAGCTTTAACATGGTAGCAATAACAAATAGCAATTTTGCAGGAAAACTTCAGACTGATACCCTTCATGAAGAGAGACACAAAAATCCTTAACAAAATGCATTGTTGTTGTTGTTGTTGTTAGGTGCTTTTGAGTCGAGTACAACTCATAGTTCCCCTATCCTGTGCCGTTTTCCTTGTCTCTGACACACTTAAGCCCATGGCTGCAGTCACTGTGTCAATCCATTTAATTACAGATCTTCCTGTCTTTCACTGATCCTCCATCCTTCCAAGCTGTATGTCCATTTCCAAGAAACAGCCTCTCCTAGCTACAAGTCCAGAGTATAAGGGGTGAAGCTTCTCCATCTTTGCCTCCAAGGAACACTTGGGCTGCACTTTCCTCACGACATATCTGTTTGTTCTTTTGGCAATTCATAGGATACTCAGCCCTCTTCAACATCACAATTCAAAGGCACTAATTCTTCTTCTGTCATCTTTATTCATTGTCCAACTCTCAAAAGCATAGCAAGTGATTGAAGAGATTATGGCCTGAATCTGGTGCCCCTTAGTCTTCGAAATAGAGAATGAAAGAAAAGACAAAACAAATTGGAAAATAAATAAAGCTATGATGCAGTTAGTCCAGTGTTGGGATACTAACCAGAAGATCACCAATTCAAACCCTCCAGGTATTTCTCAGGATGAGGCAGCTGTTCCTGTTAAGATGAATGAATATTTTTAAAAAGTAAACTGGGGGAGGGGGAAGGGTCTAAAATGTGCAACAATGAATGGATGAATGAAATCTAATTTCTCTGTTCATTAAAATAACAATTAAAATTTTATTTTTTAAAAAAAATATTTACAGCCTTGGAAGCCCAGTGTGGCAGTTCTAATGGGCTGTATGGCATCCCTATGAGTTGGAAATGACTTGGTAGTGAGATGTCTTGTCTTGCTTATTTACAGACAACATGACTAATTGTTTCTGTAGAAATTCCAAGGAGTCAACAAAATTCCCAAAATAAATGAATGAATTTAAGTTTAGAAAGATCTAAGAATAAAATGCCAGCACAAAACTCAGTTCTAGTTCTGCATACTAGCAGCATGCAACTGGAAACAGATTTTTTAAAAAATATCACTTGCAAAAGGTGCCCCTCATCCCCTAAATGACACACTTAGGTATAAAGGTAAAACCAAAAATATGTATAGGATGTACACGCTGGATACTATGAAATGCTGAGGAAAGACGGAATGCCCACATAAACAAAGAGACATACTATATTCATTGGCTGGAAGATTCAACATGGTAAAGTTCTTCTTATGTCGATCTGTGGATTTAATATAGTTACAATAAAAATTCCAGCAGAATTTTTGACCTATTGATAAGTTGATGTTAAAAGTTATAGAGAAAAGCAAAGAAAGGAAACAACTTTGAAAAATATATCCTAAAGTTGAAGGAAGCACAGTTCCTGGTTTTAAGATTTACTGTGAAGAAAACTTAGAGTGTGGTGTTGGTGAGAGAGTATATTACAGAGAGTAGAATCAGTGGGACAGAGGAGAGAACCTAAAAGGTTGTTGTTATATGCCATCAAGTTGCTTGTGAATCACATCCACCCTAAGTCCAATAGCTCTGAACACTGCTCTATCCTGAGCCATTCTCACTGTCTCTAAGACACCTAGCCCCATTACCCTAGTTATTGTGTCAATTCATGTTCTCTTGGGTCATCCTCTCCTCTACTGTCCTTCCACCTTTCCAAGCATGATGTCCTTCTCCAAAGGACTAGTCCCTCCTGGCCCTGTTTCCAAAGTTTGTGAGATGGGGCTTCAAAAATCAGCTTCCAAGGAGAA